ATATTCCACACAGTTGCAAATAATGGAAGGGTGCCCAGCATTAAGAGGAGCTTAAAAGTCAATGTTTTCAACAGGCTTCCCTTTGCAAGCCCTTTGGCTTCCAGATGATGGCTCAGATGGTAAAGAATCCACCTGCAATCCAGGATACCTGGGTTTGACCCCTGGGTAGGGAAGATCCCCTGGAGAAGGGAATGGCTACCCAATCCAATATTCTTGCCTGGAGAACTCCATAGACAGAGGAACCTGGTGGGCTACAGTCCATGGGGTCGAAAAGAGTCGGACACAACTGAGTGATCAACATTTTCACTTTCTTTAAAGCCAATGAAGTTTCCTTGTCCTTACAGCAATCTATGAGTAGGTAGGTTCTAATATTATAATCATTTTTCAATGCCAGGAAATTAAGGTTTAGTTTTTCCAGATAGAATGCCTTAACCGCTCGTTATCACATCACTCTCTAAAACCTTTATTGGATCTTCATTTCTTTTCTCATCAAAATGATGCCCTGTCTGACTTTCAAGCTCTCCATGATTTGTCTTATTCTTATTAGCTTGCCTCTCCAACTTTATTTCACAGAAGTCTGGATCTTTTTCTACCTTGGGCCAACCCTTGGATCAAGTCAACCCAGCATTTGGATGCCAGCAGCAATATTGCTAACAGCAGTCCTATTTGACTTTGTCCCTTTTTTTTGAATAGTGGTTCTTGGCTCTGTTATTAGCAGACTTCTCCAAATTGCTTATATATCACGCTAGTATCACATTTTGAAAATTAAACGCTCCACATGAAGTGAAGTGAAAGTCGCTCAGTTGTGTCCAACTCTTTTCGACCCCGTGGACTATACAGTGCATGGAATTCTCCATGCTAGAATACTGAAGTAGGTAGACTTTCCCTTCTCCAGGGGATTTTCCCAACCCAGGGATTGGGGCATTCTTTTACTTGCATTGCAGGCGGATTCTTTTACCAGCTGAGCCACAATTATTTAACAAGTGAATAGTTACCTCTTTCAACGTGTCTTAACTTAGCCATGTTCATATTTCAAAGAATCTTTCCATTTTCATATCATGGTCCACAAGCCCAGGGATAACATTTACAGACTTCTGTGTTAACTGTGATCCCTAATCACAGTTATGGAGCTTATGAAACTCACAAGAGAAGTCCCTTCCTCCTCTAGGAACACACACCCCTTCACCCTGATCTGGGGACCTGTCAGACAAACGTGGGGCCACCTTAACCTTCTCTTTCATAAGTGTATGAAAGTCTCCATTTCCTTCGAGAGAAGACTTTTCCCCACATCCACATCATTTCTCTCCTTTTACTTGTTCTCCCTATTTCTGATTTTCATCATAGCGTCCCTATGATCCAGGGAATCAAAGTAAGCAAGGGCTATGAGGGGTGAATGCATCATAGCTTTCAACAAAACATCAGGCTACATTTCTCTCCTCTTTCCATTACCATTCCTGATGATAATTAACATTGTATTTGGCTTTTCCAACACAAAATACAGGGCTACTATCCTTCAGAGACCCCACAGGGCAGATCAAACTCTAATGAAGAACCCTCCTGACCATGAAACAGGAGACCAGGACTCTTGTCCTGGGCCTATCTTTGACTAATTATGTGATCCTGGGCAAACAATTAATCCAATAACAGCTTATGTGTCAGGAGTAGCACTAAATAAATACTGGCATACAGAAATAAATGAGTCACACACACTGCCCTCAGAGCACTCATAGGCCAAAAGAAGAGACTAACAGGAAAATCAGTGATTAAAATAGGGTACAATAAGTGTCAAGATATAGATATAGAAGAACAGAAACTCCATGATGAGGCATCTTACTAATCTGAAGTCTAGATAAGGTGGTCAGAAAATAGTGATATTTGAACAGAGACTTGGATAAGCCTGGTTTGTTTACTGCTGTCATTCCCAGTCTCAGAACAGTGCCAGGTACAGAATAGGTTCCTGATAAGAGCAAGGAGAGATTTCTCTGCGCTAGGACTAGACAAAAGTATAAAAGTGTCAAAAAACAGAGAGAGTTCAGGGAAATGTAATTATGGAGGCTAGCCGAGTGGCAAAAGGGGGAATGGTTGGGCCTAAGGATGAAAATACAGACCAACACCAGAATATAAGAGGCCTGGTTTGCCATGGCAAGGCTTTCGAACTTTATCTTAAGGGGAGAAGGGAGTTACTAGAAGATTTAAGCACTGGAGTCACTCAAACAGATTTTGGTGTTCGCATTATGCTCCAGTTATCAATTGATTGCCTCTGCTCCAAATTCACCCGCACTGCCTCCTCATCAAAAACTTGTGTGGTCTCCCTCACTGCCTAGCATAATGTTAAACTTTATCAGTAGAGGGCGCTGGAGGGATACTTGAGGAGGAAGGGACTTCTCTCCTGGGTTCCTCAAGTTCTTCCCACTAGGCTCCAGGAATGAGCAGTTTCCCCAGTGCAGGGATCTCACAGTGCACAGCTTCTCCAGCATCTGCAGTGTACAATCTCTTAAATGCCCAATAGCTGCAGCGCACAGCAGTCAGCAGCGCCCAGTGGCTGGCTGCTTCCCCTGGTACCTCTCCTGGGAGGTTTGCAGCAGAGTACAGCCAGTGTACTTTCACTTTTTCATGGCTTCTTTGGCATCTCAGACAGAGGATTTCTGGCTGCCTGGCACCTCAACTTCTCTGCCACCTTAATGAGCTGTGGCCACACCTTCTGTGACACACTCTTAGGAGGTCATCTCTTTCTTGGGTGATCCATCTCAAGGGTAGTGACGGCTTCCTAAATCTGTGATTCCTGTACTCTTTGGATCTTTATGTCTTGCTAACCAATCTCCCATTATCCCAATTCATTATAGTTAAAAATTTGTTACGTTGAACTTTCTTTGTTAAATTGTTGTATGATTTCTTTCCCTTTGCTGGACTCTGAAACACACATTGACTGAACGCTGCAGAGATGCACTGAGGAGAGTGGAGTGAAGCCTTATGCAAGAAGCCCATTTAGGAGACTATGGCAGCACTTTGGGGAAAACTCTGGAGAGTTCTGAAAACTCTTGAAAAACAATTACAACTGGGAGGGACAGGAGAGACAGGAGACACAGGACTTGGTAACCACTGGGAGAGATGAATGAGAAAAGTTTAGGGTGATTTCCTTCAAGTTTTGATGACTGGGTAGATGGTGACACCACATAGAAATGGTGAACATCGAAGGAGGGACGGACAGGTCAAAGTCCTCTCCCACGTCCCCATTGGACTCTCAGGACTTCCATGCACTTTTGAGTCAGAGAGACTTAGGATCATAGCTCCTTAGGGTGGAAAGGAGTCTGAAGACCAATGTTTTCTTTTGGGCACTGTGGATCATTATTCACATCTGATAAAAAATAATGGGAAAAGATCCATTCTATCTTAACATTCCATCATTCCGGTGCTTTGTGAAGTTCTTTTCTATTCTTAAAGCTCTCAGTATGCAAGGCCTTCCTAAATTATCCATCCATCCCAGCCCTGCCTCCTCAAATCTTAAAATTCAACAGATTTCCTCTTATACCTCCCAATGTGAAATGGCAGGCCAACACATACATGCTCAAGAACTTAGGTCTTACTGAATATGAAATATACATTTGTTTTTGCAATTTCCCATTTGGTTTTATTGGTGTGGGCTAAACATGGCCTCAACAATTTAAACAAAAGTCTGAAGTTACCTGAATGAAAGGCTTCAGACACCAGAATCTCAGGAGGAGTGTCTATGAACAACTCTTAGAACCAAGGACCAGGAACTGTATGTATTTGTTTGGGTTTGGAATAGATGATGGGTTTTTGGACACATGGTTACCCTTGCCTGGACACACTCCTCATTGTTTCATAGGTTCTTCAGGTCTCAGCTCAGTTTTCCCTGACCCCTCTCTGTTACCTTATACCCTCTCAGAGCACCCCCTACTCTCCTCTCCTTGGCAACACTTGACTCTAATTTTAGATTATTTGTGTGATTTTTTTGATGAACAACTGCTATTCCCAATACACTGTAAGCTTGAGGGCAGGGATAGTCACTTTCTGCTCACAAAAGAATCCCCGATGCCTTATCTGGTGCCTGGAATACAGTCATTACTCAATATATATGAGGAAAATGAATGAAGTTTATATAAAGTTTATATAAAGTGCTAGTCATGTCCTTTGGTCCTCATGGCAACCCCCTCATTTGTGTTGTTCAGTTGGCTAAGTCATATCTCTTTGCGACCCCATAGACCACAGCACTCCAGGCTTGCCTCTCTTCCACTATCTCCCAAAGTTTGCTCAAATCCGTGTCCATTGAGTTGGTGATGCCATCCAACCACCTCATCCTCTGTTGCCCTCTTCTCCTTCTGCCCTCAATTTTTCTAGCATCAGGGTCTTTTCCAGTAAACTCTTTGCATCAGGTGGCCAAAGAGTTGGAGCTTCAGCTTCAGCAACAGTCCTCTCAATGAATATTCAGGGCTGATTTCCTTTAGGATTAACTGGTTTGATCTCCTTGCAGTCCAAGGGACTCTCAAGAGTCTTCTTCAACACCACCATTCAAAAGCGTCAATTCTTTGGCCTTCAGCCTTCTTCATGGTCCAACTCTCACATCTATACATAACTGCTGGAACAACCATAGCTTTGACTATACAAGCCTGTTTTTGGACACAGTTTTACTCCCTCCATAGGTATTGTTATATCCATGTTAGAGAAGAAAAAGCCGGGGTTTGGCCAGTCAATGGGAGGATTTGATCCCAGATTTTGTTGTGTTTCCAAATCACTGCCCCCGTGTAAGGAATCATAAAATGGTAGTTCTGGGTACAAAGTATACATATAGTTTGGGTAGAGAGCAATAATCACCCATGGTTACCTTCTCCTAAAGATCGCAGTCCCCTCTTTTGGCTCCGTGAACAGGAGGGTTTCAGATTCCAGATGGGCCCATCGGGCAGGACTCTTCCCTCAGACCCGAGCCACCGTCGGGGTGTTCAGAGTGCTCCCCTCCCCCCACTTCCCCTCGGGGTGTCTACCTGAGGCTCGCTCCAGGCGGGCTATCCGGCACCAGGCGACACCTCGCGCCTGACTTCAGGCGGGAGGTGTGGAGAGAGATCCACGGCCTCGCACCTTCGGCCGGCCGGAGGGCGGAAAGCAGCCGAATGTGAGCGGCGTAGGGCGGCACCTGCCTCAGCCAGGAGCACAGGAGAGGTGCGGTGAGACCTGGCTTTGTTAGCGCTTCGCCTTCGCCTGGCTACGCCGACGCCCGCTGCGCTGCCTGGCAACCGCGGGGCCGGGGGCCGGCCCCAATCTGCTTCGGAGAAGCAGACAGAAGGAACAGACGGCCTAGCGGTTTAGGGATCAGGCTGGGGGCTTTGAGAAACCGTGGGGAATGTGTAGCAATTTACAGGCCTTTTTTTTTTATGTTAGCGGAAGTGGAGGAGCTTTCAGTGCTGCTTTGGCTTGTGGAAAGTGAGCAGGTGAGGAGAAGCCCTGGGGAACGATTGTCAGAAAACCTTCTTGCAGTGACCACCCCCACCCCTCACCCCCGCCTTTTTCAAACGTCTTAACTCGCTCAATCCTTACAGTTACTCCATGAGGCAAATACCCTTATTATCTTCATTTTACAGAGAAAACAGCACAGAGCAGTCAAGTAACTTGCCCAAGATCACAGCAAGTGATAGGGTTAGGGTTTGTACTTACATCCATTGTTCCAGACTTCTCCCTTTTAACCTCTGTAATGATCAGAGAGGGGGATGGAGCTGGTGTGGACAGGAACAGAGCTCGAGGTGCTGAAGGTAACAGGGAAAGAAGGAAAATATTCAGGCTTAGAATGGCCTCAAAGTCTCACGGTGACTCAGGAAGCAGGTATTCACCTTCATTTCAGGAATAAGCGACAGACTTAAAACATTGAGTAACTCGCCTACGGTCAGACCACTGGCAGTGAGACCAAATTTGACTCCAGGTCTTGTGATTTTAAGATTTTTCTTTTTTAAGCGCCCAAGGAAGCAAGAAAAGCCCTTTTGCTCTCTACTGTAACCCTTATCTGTCACTTCATACCCATTTTTCAGGTGCCCGTTGTGTCATCTAATCTTTCAGACCAGTGCACTGGTCTAAATCATTGAGTTAGTTCATTCAGGGCCTTCAAAGGTTTCTGCAATTGTGAGTGAAAACTGTTGTCTCTCCTTAAAGCAATTTCAGGCATCGGTGAGCAAGTGGGGGAGCTGGAGCCTCTGAAGGCAGAAGACATTCAGAGCCTGCTGTCATCTGTTTGTGACAGGTCCAGTCTGCTGGCATTTGTCAGGGTCTTACAGGTCCTTGCACACCGGGAGAATTCTAGATGACTTGAGGATGGCCACTTGTCCACAGGCAAGATTAGGGGATGAAGGATACAGAAACACTGGCCATCACCCTCTTTCCTGCTCCCTCTCTGGAGGGATCACCAGATTCTGGTGAAGGCATCTGCTGAGCAGTGTGTGCCTTGGGATTGGACAGGGAGGCTGGGGATTTGAGGGCTGTAGGTGCATCTTTCAGGAGAAAAAAAAATGCCGTGGTCCCTGGGGTCCATTCTGTGGTGCACAAGAGAAGAAAGTGTGATGTGTCTTTCCTGCTTTGATGCAGGGTAAATTATACAGAAAAGAATGAATAATAATGATCTTCGTGCAGAAGAATGGGTAGTTCAAGAAAAGCTAGAGCTGGAAGATGAAAAATGAAATTTCAGTGTGAGAGGTTAAATGTAAGAATGTAATTTCATGTTGCTGTCTGACCAAAGTGGTCTGACAGCCTGCAGGAGGCCAGGTTGAAGATCAGTCAGTCAATAAGTACAACAGAATGTGTACAACAGAATAAGTGTAAGAATTGTACAATAAGTACAATAGAATATGACTTTACAAGGAAATGATGATCATAAAATTGAGAAAAGTTGCTTTCTTCTAAGAGAGAAGCAGGAGGATGCAAGAGAGAAGAGCACATGGACATATGTGATTGATGTTGGTCTAGCTCTTGGTGTGGGTGGTGGTTTTGGGGGTGTTTATTATGTTTCACAACTTACATATACTTTACAAAATATGTTTCAGATATTAGTCCATAAGATCTTTCAAAGTAAACTCATCAAATAAGTCACACTGTTTCTGTTTTCCTGTGTAGTTGAGAGTTTAGTTCAGTTCAGTCGTTCAGTCGTGTCTGACNTTTCATGACTGCAATCACTATCTGCAGTAATTTTGGAGTCCAAAAAAATAGTCTGACATGTTTCCACTGTTACCCCATCTATTTGCCATGAAGTGATGGGACCAGATGCCATGATCTTAGTTTTCTGAATGTTGAGAGTAGACCATATATATTTTCATCATTTCATTTTCCCCTCATTCCCATCAACATTCTATAATTTCTCCCATTGTATTCTCCCCCAGCTTTGCCCCATTTCTGTGCTCCCCTCATTGCAGAGTTCTTTAAAAGAGGTGTCTATACTCACTTCCTCTAGTTTCTATCCTCTCAGCCTCTCTTGAATCTCCTTGATTTCAGGCTTTCATCCTTATCTCTCCACCAAAGCTACACTTGTCCAGCTCTCAAATAACATGATGTTAAAAGTTGTCTCTTAGCCTCAGTTCAACCTATCAGCAGCATTTGACCCTATTGATCACTCTTTTATCCTTGAAACCCATTGCTTGGTTTCAGGACATCAGACTCTCTTGGTTTTTCTCCTTCCTCATTAGCTCTTTCTTCTCAGTCTTTTTGCTGGTTGCTGTAGAATGAATATTGTGTCTTCCTAAGTCTATAAGATAAAGCCCTAAACCCTGATGTGATGATATTTGGAGGTAGGCCTTTGGGAGGTGATTAGGTGAACTCATGAAGGTGGAGCCCCATGACTAGATTAGTGCCCTTTTTAGAAGAGGGAGGGACCGGAGCTCAGACTCTTTGCCATGTGAGGGCAAACAAGAAGGTTGCAGTGTGTAAGCCTTGATTTGGGCTTTCACAGGGACCGAATCTGCCAGACCTTTGATCTTTGACTTCCCAGCCTCCAGAACTGGGAGTGTTAGGTAGTTAGAATAGGAAAAAGGAGTTCAAACTGGCAGTAGCTAAAAAACAGACAAAGGGGGAAAGCCCATGAAAAAGAAACAAAGGAAAAGTCTGCAGACCAGAGTGAGAACCTCAGGTGAAACAAATACTCCCCCTTCCTATCAGTGAGCCTATCCTCAAGCCTTGAGGGTATACTACCCTTTGTTGTTGTTCAGTCAACTTGCTCATTCATTTCTATTGAGGCGGTGATGCTATTCCACCATCCTCTGTTTACTGAATAAAACTCTAAGCTATAACTAAGCTGTAACACTTGCCCATTGTTTCAAATCTTTGTTGCAGTGAGACTGAACTGAGGAAATTACACAGTCTCCTGACAGAATAAATAAATTTCTGTTTTTTAGGCCACCCAGTCTATGGTATATTGTTATAGTAGCCTACCATTCTGCATCCAGTTCCAATGTAGGCAGTTTTTCCCTCCACACCACCAAGCAGTTCTCTGACACCATCTACATCTGTAGGGTGTCCTACAGTTTCACTCAATTCTGACTCTGTCTGCCCAGAGATAGCATGAGGTTGCACAGGTAAGGGCTCAGTCCCATAAGACTACCCTCCAATTCAGGTGTTAGTTTCAAATTCAGGTTTTCACCTGTGCTTCTGACCAACTGTCTATAAATCAGAGGTTCTCACAAGCCATTCCTTGGGTTTCATTATTTTGCTTGAGGGACTCAAGAACTCAGAACAGTTACGTACGCTTACCAGTTTATTAAAGGACATGAAAAATGATACAGATGAATAGCCAGATGAAGAGATATGTAAGATAATGTCTTGAAGGNTGTGCAGTCTGGTGCCCAGCTCCATGGCATGTGGATGCATTTTGGTTCATCAGCCTGGAAGCTCTCTGAGCTCTCTCCTTTGGGGATTTTATGAAGGGTTCATTACATAGGCGTGTTTGATAAAATTATTACCCACCACAGGTGAGTGATTCAACTTCTAGCCTCTTTCCCCTCCTCAAGTATCTGGGGAGTGGGTCTGAAATTTCCAATTCTCTAATGACAGGTCTAGTTCTGGTAAACAGCCTCCATCCTTAGGTGACTTTCAAAAGTCACTTTATTAACAAAACAAAAGTCACCTTTGCATTCTTATCACCTAGGAAATGCTACTTCTTTACAGATTTGAAGGATCAAAAGAAAAAATAAAAGAGGGCCATTAACCACTGGGGAGGTGAGGCCAACAAGGCTCTTCCCTTCTTGACACTCTTGACTTCTGTGGGAGCTTTGAGTCTCCTCAGTACCACCCCCAGCCTACATGGTATCTCTGTATATTAGAAAAAGGTGGTTGCTCGCATCAGGCAGAGTCCTCAGGACAAAGGAACTGACGAGTGGGGCAGGAACTGGACTTCAGCCCATTTTCCACCTCAGAAAACTGCCTGATTTTCTTGTCTGTGGAGCCTTCTGTTTCTATCCCACGTTTTTCTTCTAAATAGGCACACCATGCCTTCCCACCCCATCCCCCCTCCCCCGAAAAAAAGAAAACAGAAAACCATAGTCCTTGGTTTTCTCTACTTTTCCTTCTGTCCGTAGGTTAGTAGAAGTCTGTCTCTGTGTGGATGACTCAAATTTATGCCTTTTGTCCTAGTCTCCATTCTCAACTCAGTGCCTTATCTAAACGACCTGGTTCCTTTCAAGTGAGTTCACAGAAAACACATCATATTCCCTAATATGATCCTCAGGCCTTTCCAATTCTGTCAGTGGAGACGTCATCCTACCTGCTGTCCAATCTGCATGCCTGGAAGTTACTCACGACCACCGACCCCTGTCCTCACACAGCCCACCTGCTCCTCTTTTTCAGGGTATGTGTCATTTGTCCTTCTCTGGTCTGTCTTACTTTCTATATTGATCTAAGCCTTTAGAATCTCCTGTCTGCCCCATGTTTCAACAGATTTCTGGTTATAGTCTCTTTCCTTTCTTTTCACAGTGGTTCTCAACTGGGGGAAAATTTGCTTTGAGGACATTTGGGTTTCCCTAGTGGCTCAGCAATAAGGAATCTGCTGCCAATGCAGGAGCCACAGGAAATGCGGGTTTGATCCCTGGGTCAGCAAGATTCCCTGAAGGAGGGCATGGCTACCCACTCCAGTATTCTTGCCTAAGAGAATCCCATGGACAGAGGAGCCTGGTGGGCTACAGTCCATAGGGTCACAAAGAGTCTGACACAACTGAAGGGACTTAGCATGGACGCAGAGGACATTTGGCAATGTCTGAAGACTTCTGGTTATCTCAACTCAGAGTGAAATGCTACTGAGGCCAAGGATGCTGCCAAACATCCTACAAGGCACAAAGAATTATCCACCTCAGACGTCATAGTGCCGAGATCGAGTTCTGTGTATCTGTTCCTCCAAGCTTCCTGAATGTTGCAGCCTGCCTATTCTCAAGAAAATGCACTTCGCACACATTTCTTGGCTGAAAGATAAATTGTTTCCCATTTCCTATATGGGCATGTCTTCCTCTGCCCAAGATGCCTTTCCCCTTCCACTACTATGCCAAGAACTCTTCTCTCTCTCTCAAAGCCCATAGTAAAGTGTCCAGCCTGTGCCCTAGGTTGGTCTCCACTTGTCACCATGTCCATTCTCCACTCTTGTCTCCCAATCTGTGCCCCATGACTGCATCTCCATGCTCCCTTGTCCTCCAGTTTCTGGTTGAGCCTGTGGATGGCACCAGCAGGTGACCAGAGGCTGGGGATTTACTCCCCAACCCCCATCCTGAGCTTCTGTCCTCAGCTCCTGTGGAGCCTCCCAGTTTCCAGGCACCAGCACTTGTTCAATGGGGCCCCATGACCCCACTCCTTGCCTTTCCCCTACAGGCCAAGAGTGGTACCAGCATTCCCTGCTGCTGGCCCTGTTTGCCACTGTGACTAATTGACTTAACTCTGCCCACACTCCAATCATTATTTTCTTAAACTTTCAGTGAAATCCTTTGAGCATGCCATCTGCTTTCCACTGGATCCTCAATGATACGTCAGTCACTTGAGGATTTGCCTTTCTCTTGGCTCCTGCACAGAACTTAGAGGCAGGGCCATTCCGGTGTCATTCAGCAGGTATGCCCCATACTGCTGTGATCAATTTACATCTAGTATTTCTCATGTTTCCCAAACACATTACAATCCCCTGGGGGCTGACTTATTGAACAGTCGTATACACCCTCTTGGCATAGTGCCGAGCTCTATAAATGTTTACCAGTGAAAATTATAACAAAATTACAAAATGACATTTTCAACAAGATGTTTTGAAAAGTCACCTCATTTTTTAAACAAGGTGTTTGGAATTAATTTTTTTTTTTTTTTTGTATTCCAGGTATTTGGGGTGATTTGAGTTCAGTAACTTTTTAAAAAATTTTATTTTATTTGGCTGCATAGGGTCTTACTTGCAGCATGTGGGATCTAGTTCCCTGATCAAGAATCAGACCAGGACCTCATACATTGAGAGCATGGAGTCTTAACCAAGGGACCACCAGGGAAGTCTCAAGCACAGTAACTTTTCCTTGATGTTTTAAAAATGACTTGGGCTTTGTGACTTGATGTTGCCTGCTCAACTGTGTGTTTTGCTTACTTCCTGGTTCCTGACAAATCCACCTTGATAATTTCATAGTAGGGTCCAGAAAAAATGAAGCTGATATAGGCTGAGCAGGATCACATTATGACTTTCGTGAAGCTCAGGTACATTTGCTTTTGTGGGCCCCCTTCCACCATTAAAAAAAAAAATATGTTTTACAACTCTGTCAGCATATGACAGATACAGTAATATATTAAAGTATTTTTGTGGACCCCTAAACATTTTTTGGTCCCTAGGTTCTTGTCTCCTGGGCCTAAAGAACTAGTCAGCTCTGTGAGTGAGCAGTGGGGCAAGAAAGGAGCTTGATTCCTTATCTCAGGGTCTAAAGATACTGAGTTCCAGTCTGTTCTCAGTGATGCCTACACTGGGAGGTTATGAGCCTAAGTAAGGTGAATGAATGTTCTTCTTCTAAGAGGCTTGTTGGAGAAGGGGTGTGGATGCTTGGGCAGCTGTGGACCACAAGGCTCAGCCACCTCCCAGATCCAGGCTGCTAACCTCTTTACCTCGCCCCATATACCTTTTCTGTATGAGAGTAATGGTGTTACAGTCTCTACTGTGAGAGGGTTTAGGGTGATTGTCCCACTTTGTAGATAAAGAGCCTAAGGCATGATGAGATGAGCTTGGGTGGCTTGCTCTTTTGTAGCTGATTCAGATTCTAATGCCTTGCTGCTTTCCTGGCAGCACAAAGAAGAAACACTTAAAATAATTTTTTCTGACTATAAAAATGATACTGGTTTATTATGAAATTTGGGGGAAAAAATAAGAGCAGATTAAAACAAAACAAAACTCCTTTAATTCCAACTCCTAGAGCCAACCACTGCCCACTGCTTCATGAGGTTGTATAAACGGCTGAACCCTTCCACTGGTGGGACGGAACTAGTCCAGCTCCCAGGATCTGAACCACAGTGCTGGTTGTTCTTGCTGTTTCTGCCTGTTATCACTGCCAATTATAAAATGGCTGGATTTTACCAAACTTTCCCACCCTCGAAGGCTTATTAACTATAATATTAAATGAAAAAAGCAGATTGCAAACTGTATGTACAGTATGATCTCAATTGCATAGCAATATGTATAAAATTGAGGAAGGCAATAGATAATTATGTCAACAGTGATATTAGGCCACAGAAGCTCCAGTGTGGATAAGGGACAGCTTTTTGGGAGGATGGTAGCTTTTCAGCACACACAAACCCTCCTCCACAGGCAATTTCCTATGCATAGGATGTTTCCTATGTGATTTCCAGGCAGTTTCCTATGAATAACATTCTGCTGTTTGTACTCCTAGTAGAGGTAAAGGGGGACAGTGATCCTTTCATGCATAAACCCCAAATCTTCGGGGATAGCTGTCCTCCCTCATCTCCTTTCTCCTATGCCCACCCATGAAGCAGCAATTTCTGCAGGCTCCTATTTGTATTTGAGCCTGGCAGTGGATTTGCCCAGCTATCCTCTTGGGAACATGATTCTATTTTCTACATAAAAGCAAGGATACAATTAAAGCTATGCATCAGAGAGCAATCAAGGGAACTGACAACGCCATATTACTGTGAAGAGGATGCCATTGAATGAGGGCAGTTTCAGTGGCAGACTCTTCCTACTGTTGCCACAATTGCACAAAAGCAACTTCTGGTGCCTCTGTAGACCCTCAGAAATAGAGCCTTCCCAGCAGGCAGGAATCTGACTCATCCCAGAGAGATGGGGTTCTGCAGACAAAATATTTTGTCTTCTTCATGGTCTGGTCCAGTGTCTTTCAGTGTTTCCTTTAGTTCTAACCTGAACCCTGCCTGCTAGGTTTTCATCCCATGCCCATTTTCCTTTATGAAGACAGAAAACTTTGGCTTGTGTGTCCCCATCTGATAACCCTCCAGAGCTTGATAGTGAGTTTCTTCTAAAGTGTCTATGTCAAGCTCAGAAAATTAGAATGATACCAGGTTAAGAAACTGAATCTAAATGGTACATTCAGTAATGTAATTCAACAGATAATTTGCTTGAGCACCTACTATGTGCCAAGCATGAGGGAAACAGACAAGTGGACACAGGCTGAACCAGAAGGTATTAACACCTGCTACCTCAGATATTGTGTCAAAGACCCCCAAGTCCTCTCTCAGTTGTTTTTTTTTTTTTTTTTTACCCTCTCTGTTTTTAAAGTGAGTTTTGAAGGCAGCTAGACTTGGGTTGAATCCACTTACTCTTTCTGTTATCAAGACCAAGTTGCTCACCTATTTGAGTCTTGGTTTTATTACCTCCAAATGGGGATAATAGTATCTATTTCAGAGGTTGTAGAATAGATGAAATCATCTAAGCAAGGTACAGGTCCTGATAGTAGAAGTTGCTTTGTAAATGTTGTTCCTTCATTCAGGTTTATAATGATTTGGAGATATCAGCAATATTGGATGTAATATGAAATTGGTTTTTATTTTTAAAATGTGAATTCTAATATGTATTGTTCACCTTGTGGATCAGCTATAATTCCAAATTGACTTCCTATAAGCTCAGTGATGATCTGTTGTTAATGTGCCAGCATTCACTCACCCAACAAGTATTTCTTAAGTATCTTTTATAGTGTAGTCAGTGTATGCTAGGGAAATAAAAACATCTTTAATGTAAGCTTGGTGCTTACATGATCAGGAAGGGAAATCTGCTAGGAAGAAAATCCTGTATGGAAGGAGTTTCCAGGACAGCAAAAGATGGGCTCCGAGAAGCACAGATGCCAGTAGAGACACTTCTCCAGTGCTGGCAGCAACAGTCCTAGCAAATGCCTGCCTACAGAGGATTCTGGGAGGCTGGACTTGCCGCTCATTCTTGAATTGCATTTATTCTGGGAACCAAACAGAGTGCTGTATCAATCTGCTAAGAAGGAGGCAGTTAAAAATAGGATATGTGCTGAAAATAGGAAATAAGAAAGATGAAAGATGGCATTTGGGGTTTTCACGGTGCGCCCCCACCCCTTGAGCAGAGGGAGGGAAGCCATCCATTTTGGTGGGGGCATGAAATTCAGGGGCCATGATTTCAAGAGAAATGGAAGGGAGAGAGGGAATGGGAAGTAGAAAGTGGCTAAAAGCGGAGAGCTGGGAAGAAATGAGTGAGAGGTGAACAGAGCAGTTGGGAAGGTAAGCTGCTCCCTCCATCCCTCCTCCCCCAGGCAGATGAGATGAAATCAAAGAGAAAAACCTATGTGAAGACTTACCCAGCTGGAGAGAAACTTGAAACAGCAAGATAGTAATCACACATGGCCAGAGAGGGGGATTGGG